CTTTGAAAAATTCTCATTTGGTCTATTCATTTACATTAGATATTGTCCTGTATCTGTCTTCCCTTTTGTCATTGTGGTTGTGTGTGGTTTGTCCTTCATTCTTGAAGAGGACCATGACATCAGGGAGATGATGACATGATTCCCAATTGACTTTGATTTGAGTGACGGAGGGCTGTGCAAAGTCACCAGCCTCACTTTCTCTTCCAGAGCCACCTGGGTGGCCAGATATTCATCAGGATGACTGGAGATGGCTCAGGATTCAGTGGGGGCTTTGGCCCTTTTAAGCTAAGGTCTTTTTAGGTTCTTACTTTGAGTCAGGCAGCGCCCATTCAATGAATAGGCTTCTTTAAGAAGTGAGTCAAAGGATGGCCCCTTCAGTAAAAAAAATCAAATTGTGAGGGAAAGACCCTCAAGGTTGCTGGCCAAAAGAGGAATGGTGACTATTTATACTCTCTCTGAGTCAGGAGGGCCCCAAAAATAACCATTAAGTGGTGCTTGGGCAGGGACTTATTGCTGTCCAATCCATGAAGTCCAGAGTGAATTGGGTTTAAGGCTTGGTCTTTGAGAAAGAAATCTAACCAGTAAACTCCAAGTTAACTAGGTAGCTTTCAGTCATCAAAAATTACCTTCCTTTGGGCAGAATACCCTCAGGTGAGGGGAGAGGAGAGGAGAGAAGAGAAAAAGAGAAGAGAAGAGAGGAGAGGACAGGACAGGATGAGCTGAGTTACCCAACTGGAACTGGCCAACTGGGTCACTATTCAGGCAGCTCAGACTACTCACAGGTTGTGGTTTGTCCTTCATTCTCAAAGTGGACCATGACATCAGAGAGATGATGACATGGCTTGCAATTGACCTTGATTTGCATGAGGGAGGGTTGTGCAGTCACCAGCCTCACTTTCTCCTCCAGAGCCACCTGGGTCCAGCCAGATATTGATCAGGACAACTGGAGACAACCCATGATGCAGTGGGAGACCTTGGCCCTTTTGAGCTAAGGTCTTTCTGAGTTCTCACTTTTATAGTTAAACTCCTCAAAAAGGCTGTTTATAATGCTTTCATTTCCTTTACTCACACTCTTTAAAAAAGTCTCTGCAGTGTTAGTTTCCCATTTCACCATTCAACCGAAACTGCTCTCTCCAAAGTTGCCAATGATTACTTAATTGCCAAAACTAGTGGCCTCTTCCCAATTGTCACCTTTCTTGACTCTGCAGCATTTGACACTACCGCCCTCCTCCTTCTCCTTGATAACAGTCTTTGTTCTCCTCCTGCCTATCTGACTGGGTCTACTCCGTCTCTTTTGCTGGATCTTGATCCAAGTTACACACAATAACTATGAGCCCTCAGGGCTCTGTTCTGGGCCCTTTTCTCTTTTTCTTCTGTACTATATCCCTAGATGGATTCAATTCCCATGGATTCAATTATAATTTCTATGCTGATGCTTCTCAAATCTACATATAGCTTTAACTTCTCTGCTGATCCCCAGGCTGATCTCAAAATGCATGTCCTCTTAAACTCAAAATGTCTAAAAATAAACTTATGTTTTTCCCCAACACTTATGTTGAGGGTACCACTATCTGGTACCACTCCCAGTCATTCCAGCTCAAGACCTAGGAGTACTCCCCTATTCTTCACTCTCTCTTTCATCCCTCATATCGTATTGGTTGTTAAGGACTATTGGCTTTTATTTTATTTTATTTTTCTTCTGTGTTCAGAAAACACCCTCCCTGCAGAGGAGGAAGCAGGCAGCGAGGTGGTAGCAGGGAGGATGTTCACTTGAAAATCTTGTCCTGATTGAAGGGTTTGCCCATGTACTGGAAGGCCCCCACCCAAGAGAAGTAATCTCAGACCCTTGTCTGGGCCACCTTACTGCTAGGATCCAGTTTATACCATGAGTAGGACTCATAATCCGTCTGCCAGTTGGGACTTGGCAGGAAGCCAAGTTCCTGGTCCCGGAAAACCCAGACTCCAGAAATGGCACTGCTATTGTTGGTCCAAAAAGGATGATGCTGGCAAAGGCATTCTTCCTCAGCTTGCCCAGGCACTGGAACATTCCAGTGATGAGGATGCAGCTCATGAAGGGCTGGCTGAGCTCCTATGGGAAGCGGTACTCGGCATACCACAGGGACCAGCCGTCATGGTCAAAGTGCTCCCAGAAGTACAGCAGGGCCACCATCAGCACATCTTTGCTGGAGTACTTTTGCTTAAATTCATCCAACACAAAGGTACTTTTGGGCAGGTGGGCAAAGGGATTCTTGGCCTTGGGCTCTGTGGCCAGAGCCTGGTCACACTCATCCATCTCCTTCTTGGGGCCAGGGACTACGGCTGCCTTCCTCTCTTCCTTCCACTCAGCCTGGGCCTTCCGTTCCTCTTCTCACTATCCCTTCTCTTTCTTCAGGGCCTCCTTCTTAGGCTGATTCTCTGCAAACTTTTTACCATCAGACTATGCCGTCTTCTCACAGAGCTTCACCTTTCCCAACACCGCCCAGAACTGGGGCTGGTGGATGCAGGTGAGGAACCAGCAGTTGGTGTTGGGAAAGGCCTGCCAAAAAGACAGCTCTAGGACCCGCTTATAGAGCCATAAGAGGGTGCACACAACTGTGATGTCAGCCAGAGTCACACACTCCACCACCACGAAAATCCGAGTCTTCAGGTGGGCATCCAGCAGCCCCAGTACTTTCCTTACCTCCTCTCTTGCGTTCTCTGTGGCCTGTTTGTTGAGATGCATGATGCCAAGAGTGGGGAACACCCAGGGACTGGCTGGAGGAACAATGTCACTGTCCACAAAGCTCACCCACTGGATCTCTTTGGCACCTGCCTCCGGAGTACAGCCTTGAAGGTCATTGTTGCTTACACGGTGTGCCATGGCGTTGCTTTCAAGCGTACAGAATCTATCATCACCCTCAAACACTAGAACTTGCCCACAGGAAATTTCTGGAGGAATTCAGGGGTGCGGTTGGTTTGACCAAAGTGGTAGCAGGGAGGTGTGGAAAGCACGCGGACCTGGGCCCCACTGTACTGTGCAGCAATGAGGGCCTTGAAGGCCCGCCAGTTTTCGGGGTACGTGTACAGGCTTCCTGACTGACATGGTGATTCCGCAGAGAAAGGGACTAGCTTTTAGTTTTAGTTTTGTCTCTGGCATATGTGCCCTTCTTGCCTGTGATACTTCTACCACTCTGTTGAATGCCCTCATCACCCCACACCTGGACTGTTGCCATAGTCTTCTGATTGCTCTCTGTCACAAATCTCTCATTCCAGTCTATCATTCATTCAGCTGTCAAATGACCTTCTGACCATGCCATCCCCTACCCTTACTACTTAATAAATGCTAGCAGGTCTCTATTACCACTAGGATCAAATATAAAACCTTCTGTCTGATGTTCAAAGTCCTTCATAACAATCCCCTGCCTTTCCAATCTTCTTACACCTTACCCCTCTTATCCCCATCATGTACTCTGACATTGTTGACTCTATGCATTGAAATTAACTAAATAAAATATGAAAACAAAGCAAACTTAGTTGGTAAAAATTGAGGTTAAATATGAAAGCTTTTTTTTATTGGCTTTAATAAGTGATATTTGAGTCAAGAGAGCTCAGAGCTGTTGCATTGGTTGAGGCTGTCAGAGACATCTGGGCCAGGATCCAGGTTCTGCCACTTGGGTGATCTCAAACAAATCACTTCATCTCCTTCAGTTTTTTTTTTTATATCTATGAAATGAATTGGAGGATGGAAATAGAGGGAAGGAGGGGTCTTCTCTGACTCAAATTCTTTTTTTTCCCAGAATTACAAGGTCCCCTGTGCACAGTAGAGGGACAAGATGCAACTCTGCATTGTGCCTACAACATTAGGAAATATTCTAATGCCCTGAAGGCGTGGCAGAGATTAGGGCATGATGGCCAAGTGGAGACACTGGCACAAACAAGTAATATGAAAGGGGAATTAAGCCAGGTCCAGGCTGGCAAGTATCTGCTGTCAGACAACCCTCCTGATGCCATGGTGAATTTCACAATCATGAGATTCCTGAAGCAGGACTCTGGAATATACCAGTGTGTGATCTATTAGCCACCCCAGGAGCCCCTTGTCCTCAGGAACCCCTTCCTACTGACTATATGTGATGGTAAGCAGCAGGGAGGAGTTAGAAAATGGAGATGCTTTCTATGACTTTTGGTTTCTGGGACAGAGAAATAGCCAGACAGAGCTAGAAGGATGAGCGACAAAGACGGAGCTTGGTATAATGGGTGTAACCCTGCACTAGGAGTCAGGAGAACTGGGTTCTAATTCTAATTCTTCTCTGTGATATTTAGGCAAATGACTTTGGGCAGGTCACTTGACCTCTCTGGGCTTGAATCTAGTCATCTATAAAATAAGAAAGTTGAATTTCTAAGGTGAGCTTTCAGGTCCCTTACAGCTACAACATTCTATCCTCTGGTACTAAATGAATTTGAAAAAAATCAACCATGTTAAAAAGAAATCAACCATATTGATTTCTGGCTTATTCCTTGAACCTTCTCTATTTTCTTTTGGCATGGTGTAGTAGAAGGAGCACTGAATCTGGAGACAGAAAACCTGGTTTCAAATCCTACCTTGAACACTTATTGCTTTTGTGACCTTGGACAAGTAAAAAAAAAAACAAAAATCTCTGTACCTCAGTTTCCCCATCTATAAAGTGAGGGAGTTGGACTACATGGTCTCTGAGGTCTCTTCCAGCTCAATGGTCAGATCAATGGTCCAAATCCATGAGCACAGTGTCCTATTCTTTACCTGGTTACCCCAATTTCCCACAGCAGAGTTACACCTGTTCTCTGGGTAACTCCTTCTTCTGACTGCTCCATCCCCTTTTCTTCTCAAATCAAAGTGACTTTTTCTGAGTCTCAGCTCCTTTTGGACCTCGTCCTCTAGCAGGTAGCTATGGTGGTGATGAGTTTAATTTGGGGATGGGGTATACCTTATTCCTGTCGATATGTTAGGCAAGTCGTTCTCTGGGCAACTTAAAATTTTAACAACAATGCTCTACAATTTTGGAATTCCTGTTGTAGAAACTCTCTGGTTTAGAGACCTAAAGCAGGTAAGACCTCGGGTGTTGACTGAGTCCCACAAAGGTTAGATGGCTTGCTCAGGGGCATGACAAGATGCCAATGGTCAGATCTGCCAGGTTCCTGACACTAAGCCCATGGCACAATGTAATACATCACCTACTTTGTTTCAAGCTTGCATCTTAACCTGGTTAAAAAAGCATATTTCTTTGTAAGGGCCTTTAGGGACTGTAGCAAATGGTAGGAACTTCAGACAATCTGATTGCAGCTTCCTGGTTATCTAGGGGCATAAAAAGTCCCAGCCATATATAGTCTGTACCTCTCAGACTTGGAGGTTGCCTAAGACCACTAGAGTCTCCATACCTTAAGGTTTGACCAGAGTGTTTCCAGATGGAGATGAAAGGGTTTGGTCTAGAAAAACCAAGTACTAATGTATCCTTGTTGCATATTCTTGTTGTGTTAGGGCAAAGTAAACCTCCTTAAATATTCGATGAATTATGAGTGCCTCATTTTATCTCAATATCAAACTAAGAGGGGGCAGTACTGGTGTGAAAGCTGAGCCTCCAGCAGAAGGAATCTTAGAAATCACCTCATTGGTGATTTCTAATCACCCTCTGGGACTGAATGATATAGGAATCTCCTCTTCAATATAATCTCCTCTTTGCTACCAAGGGAAGTCTTCACATCCTTGAGATAGACATCCTCCTAACTCACACATGGGTTTGAGGCTTGCTGGTTACCTTCAACCTAGTTTAGCCTGAGTGAGGAGAGGGTTTACCTGGGTGTGGACACTGCACGTGCTACAGCTTCTTGGAGTCACAGGTGAGAGTTGAGTGCCTGGTAGACACCAAAGGTTGATGAGCAGTCCTGAAAACGGCTCAGCAAGCCCTCATACCAGAGGTGCTAGTACTCCTTGCATACTCCATATACCCCAGATTCTATTGTATTGATTGCCTTCAAACCTCAGAATATTAAGGTGCTTCCTCAATGAGTTCCATAATTGTTCAAAACAGATTGGCCTGACAATCTACACGGTAAAAATTAAGTGGATGCAAAATGTATGGTATGTTCAAGGGACAATGTGGAGACCAGCCTGACTGTAACAGAGTATATATATTGGGAAGTAAGATTGAAAAGCTAAGTGCTAGGTTATGCCTTCTTCAAAAGCCATGCAGAAACATTTAGAATTTACAGGATAAGAAAGAGGCACCCTTTCTAAGTTTTTCAGAAGGGAAATGACATGATAAAAACAGTATTTTAGGAAGAAGAATACCAAGGGCAGTATTTCTCCTAGGCATGAGAGTCCAGCTAATTGTGTGTGTGTTGGGGGGGGGGGGGGGAGAACCAACTGCTCTCTGAGCCAAAATAGAGCCCAGAATTCATAGGATTACAAGATCAAGAATGAAAAGGGACCTGAATTAAAATGAAATATTATTGTACTATAAGAAATGGCGAGCTGAATGATTTCAGAAAGACCTGGAAAGACTTACATGAACTGATATAAAGTGAAGTGAGCAGAACCAGGAGAATTTTGTACACAGTAACAGCAATGCTGTACAATGAAGAATTGTGAACAACTTAGCTATTCTTAGCAATACAACGATCCAGAATAATCCCAAAGACTATTGATGAAAAATGCTATCCTCCTCCAGAGAACAAATATCTGAATATTGACTAAAGTATACTATTTTTTCTCTTCCTTCCTTCCTTCCTTCCTTCCTTCCTTCCTTCCTTCCTTC